CCTCAGAACGTTACTGCCTAGAGAGGAGCCTAATATTGTAGCGTAAGAAAAATGGTCTTTCCGAGTGAATTTCTTCATCACTCAATCTCCTCCCCAGTCACCATCACTCCAATGAACCTCTGGATTATCTGAAGCCTGCTCTGGCCCCCACAGCAGCTCTGCTTCCCAGCTTGTCTGTAGCCTAATTGCTGATATTTTCACAGCCACTGCCTTTTTCCTCTTCCAAAAATCAGTAAGGCCCTTTGGTACATGAATGAAGACAGAATTCTTACTCTAATTTGTGAAAGGAGCCAGCCCCAAACCCTGGGCCACCTTTCAGTGCACAGCAATACGCTTCCAAGGGGGCATTCAGGCAAGGGCTAGAGAAGCTCTTTTTAAAAATGTTACCCCCATCTTTTGCCTCATTTCATATGAGGGACTCAACCTGGGCTCCGTGCTCAGAGCTGATGGAGGCTGACCCCACAGGGATTGGGAGGTCATGAACTGTGACATAGTGGGGGGTACCTTACTGGTTGCTATGCTGGGCGGTGGGCTGTGGGTGACCTCCACTGTCTGCTGTCTGTAGCATGGCCCAGCAGGGCGGGGGATGAGTCTTTATGCAAGGGGTCTCCAAACCTGTCCGACCAGTTATCTCCCAGGGAACGGAACAATGGGAAGAAGGCAGAGTGGAGCCCTGGCTGGGGCGGGCAGGACTGGAAGTTAGTTAGTTAGAGTCTGTCGGGTATCGTGGTGGAGGCAGCTTAAGCTACAGGCTGAGATTTAGGGGCCCAGTCTCCCTCATCTCAAGGGGGGCTGAGGCATCCTAGGCCCGGTTCCTGTAACCAGATTACATCTGTGCTGTGCTGTATCCTGGAGAAGCAATAAACTCCCTCTATTCTACTGGCTGGTGGAGTCTGTTCGTGCCACTACGGGGGTGCAGGAGGTGGGAAACCCCAACGCGCCGCCACGTGAATGCATTGGGTTTTAAGGCCAGAATGGACAACTGTGCTGAGCCAGTCTGACCTAGCACATTGGGATGAACGCATTGGGTTTTAAGGCCAGAATGGACAACTGTGCTGAGCCAGTCTGACCTAGCACATTGGGTGGGCCAGAGAATGAATCCTACATGAGATCTGGAGACCCAAGAACTAGAGCTTATGTTTTAGGGTTAGGAGGACACCCAGACTTAATCTGCCCCCCATGAGTCCTACATGAGATCTGGAGACCCAAGAACTAGAGCTTATGTTTTAGGGTTAGGAGGACACCCAGACTTAATGTAAAGGCTTCACATCCACCACATCCCTAGTTAAGATGTCTCCCTGAGTAATGGCCCTCACCATTAGGAATTTGGGCCTTGTTTCACGTTTGGATTTGTCTAGTGTCAGCTTCCACCCACTGGATCACATTACTCCTCGCTCTGCTAGATTAAGTCTCTCCCTCACTGTCTGTTCTCTGCTCAAGAGAGGCTTCTGGGCTACAAACCTTCCAAGGGATCTGCATGCACATAGGCAGGAACTCTGGCAGGGATTTTCCCATTGGCTTCTCGGATTGTATTTCTGTACATCCATCTGATAGCAATGGAACAACTACGCTCAATACAGATGGCACCACTATCTCTGGAGACATGAAATGATCCAGGTGGTTATTTTTCACACACACATGCAGGCATGCACACGTACACACACATGCACGCACGCACATGTATGCGCACACATATGTGTGTGCTCACACGCACACCATTTCCTTGAGCATTTCCTCAGCAGGCTTGAGACATCATGTCAGAGTTTTTAATTAATACTATTATTAGAGCTGGGCAAAAGTCTTGCAGCAAAATGTTTCTTTCCCTCCCCTCCGCCCTTCCCCCCCCATTTGAGGGCCAGGAAAACAATTTGGAAATTGCTGTAATCGTATAAATGTCAACATTTCCTGACAAAATGTCATATGAACATTCTGGGGGGTTTAAAATCACTTGTAGCGCCAGGGTGAACTTTTCACAGCAAGTTTTCACATCTCTCTCCTCTCTGTCTCTGGATTTTTATTGCTATCCATCACCATGGTATCTGAACAAAACTGACAGCATGAGAAAAGTCCCTAGTGGATTTCATGGCATCTCTTGCACTTCTCTCTTTTGAGAGCAAAATCTCTGCTTGAAGGAGGGCTTTAATTTTCTCTTTTTTTTTGAGGTTTAATTTTATTTCTCTTTAGGCTGACTTCTTTCAGGCTGGGCAGCATGGCTGTGATTGGTCATGTCAATCATTTGATGTTGGTTGAACTCACTTGGGTGTTAACAGAAGTCAGGCTGGCTCAATGACACAGAGGCCCTGGTTGACTCTGGAGCCACTTGGAGCAGCGGCATCTCTGTTCCACTCTGTTGTGGTCTAGGAGGGACTCGTATGTCTCCCAAGCCCTGCAAAGACTGCCCAGGACTGAGAGACACAGAGGCTATGACTTCTTTGCCCTTGAGAATAGTAGCAGCCCTTCCCCGAAGAGGCCCCAAGTAGGAGGAATATCATAGAACACTAGAACTGGAAGGGACCTTGAGAGGTCATTGACTCCAGTCCCCTGCCCTCACAGCAGAACCAAGCACCCTCTAGACCATCCCTGATAGATATCTGTCCAACCTGCTCTTAAATATCCCCAATGATGGAGATTCCACAACCCACCTAGGCAATTTCTTCCAGTATTTAATCACCCTGACAGGCAGAAAGTTTTTCCTGATGTCCAACCTAAACCACCCTTGCTGCAATTTAAGCCCCTTGCTTCTTGTCCTATCCTCAGAGGCCAAGGAGAACAATTTTTCTCCCTCCTCCTTATAACACCCTTTTATACTCCATCTCCTCTTTTCGAAACTAAACAAGCCCAATTCTTTCAGGCTTCCCTCCTAGGTCAATCATGGGAGGTGCTGAGAATAAAGTGTGGGAAGGAAGTGTAATGTGATTCATCAGAGGTGTGTTAGTTCAGGTAACCCTCTAAACCGGATCCTAGGAAGGGAGATTTTGGTCAGATATTAGGAAAATCTTTCTAACTATATGGATAGTTAATCTCTGGCACAGGCTTCCAAGAGGTGTTGTGAAATCTCCATCCCTGCAGGTTTTAAGGAACAAGCTGGATAAACACTTGTTGGCCCCAGGCTACGACAGAGACAAGAAGGGAGAGGATGGACCGACTTCTGTTGGAGGGAGGGACCATCATCAAAGCTACTCAGAATCTTCCTCAGGTCTGGGGAAGGAAGAACCCAATGGTCTAGAGATGCTCTGGGTCAGCCACAGGACCCTGCAGCCCACATGCCAGACATGGCTCATCCGGCTGCCAGGCGGGTTGCTTAACTGGGCATGTGTTAGCCAGGCCACTTGCAGCTCCCAGTGTCCAATGGGAGCCACAGAAAGCGTTGTGGGCTGAGCCACCACATCCCTGCAGCTCGCATTGGCCAGGAACGGCAAACCACAGCCACTGGGAACTGCGAGCAGCGGAGCGGCTCAGAAACACAAACCATATGGCACCCTGCCTGTGGCGAATCTCCATGATTCTAGGTTCTAGGTTCACCTGGTTCTGCCTCAGCACAAGTGCAGAACTTCCCCTCCATTGCCAGACTCTATGAAGTGTGTTGCCTTGTAGGTGCAGAACTTGCTCTCCATTGCCAGACTCTATGAAGTGTGTTGCCTTGTAATTTCATTGTGCTGGATCTGGTGTGTTATTTATCAGTTTACCTAGACAGTGTAGACCCGGACCTAGCTAAGGCTGCTCTCTACTCCACTTTCACCCCTCTGCCCCACTTGGTCAATTGCTCGGGATCTCTTCAAATGGTTTGGGATGAACTCCCCAGAGGGGCTCTGGACAAGGGTGTGGACAGAAGTGACAGGAAAGGGGCAGTTCTTCCTGAGCTCAAAGACGGGGAAAATACAGAGGAGCATTTAAACGCTAACTGGAAACAGACAATATTTCCCATGATTTTTGTAAAAAAAACCAAACCAACCCCAAAAATCCAAAGCCTCCCACGAATGGTGCGACCATAACATTGCGCGAGAGCTCTCTTCATGCAGCATTACGGTAGCACAGTGACTACAACAGAGACTCGGCTCATCCAAGGCAGGAGCGTGGAACCGCGCTGCGCCCTTGGCGCGCGTTAGCACTTCCGAGTAATTCTTCCCAATGCTCCGCGCTGCTGGCACTTTGGACGCCCGGGTTTTCCGGGTAACACGAGGGTCTGCAATTACTTCTGTCGCACAACCGACAAGCTTGCAAAGCGCCGCTGCGCCCAGAGGGCCGGTCGAACTTAGCCCTCCGCCTTTGCGGACTGTCTTTGGCCGCTGCGGGCTTTCCCCCGCCGGGAACGCAGCGGGCTGCACAGAGCTGGTCCCCTCTACACCGGCCCAGAGCGAGCCGCGTTCTGCCACCCCCGCGCCGGGGTTTGCCAAAAATGTTCGGGTGCTCGTCGAACCCCCCCCCCCCTTGGCACCGTGTGGGTTGGGTCTGGGCTCTCAGCGGAACCCGGCACCTCGCCCGGGGGAAAGGCAACGGCTTGTCCCGCCCGCGGCTCCAGCTTCGATGTGTTCCCACAAATATCCCTCGGACCGGGGCCGGTCCTATACACCGCTCTGCCTGCAGCGGGGAAAGCGGGCGGGCATGTCCGGTAGGGGCCCTGCCGGCTCCAGCCAGCCAAGGCAGCGGGGGACTCGACTCGCGGGCACTTTCAGGGAAGCCGGGAGCAGATGGTTCCGCGGGGAACCAAGCCGGAGCCGCGCGGAGCAGCGCGCCAGGGGATTTGCCGGAGCAAGCGGGGCTCGCCCTCTCCCAGGGCTGCCCCCAGACCGCGTCCCCAGGACGACCCCCGGGAGCCTTCGCTCTTCGCTCTGCCCCGGCTGGAGCGCCCGCGGCTCCTTGCATGGCGCGCTGCTGCGGGCTCGATACATCGCCAACTCGCCCCCAAGTGCCGAGGCCGGGACAGAGGCGCCCCCGGCGCAGCTTGTGCCAATGCAGCCCGCTCGAGTGAGCGGGGTCCCTGGACAAAGCCCGGCTCTTACCTGCAGGGCGAGGCTCGGACCTGGCCGCAGCACCATCCTGGGGCTGTTAATTCCCCCCTGGCCGGGCTCCGGCCGGCATGGCCCGTCTGCTGCCGCCCCGCCCCGGGGGCGGG